TATTTTTAATAAAATTTAAATAAATAATAACATTTAATAAAAATAAAAAAAATGAATCAATGCCAACATGTGTTCAAGAAGCAGTTAAAAAGAGACCTCTTATGTGAGCACTTAACTAAAACAGCCTTAAACAGAGGCACTTTCTATAACATCTATTTTAAAAAAAACTCCTCTTTGTTCTCGCTTTCTCTGCTTTTTTGTCCTATAGCTTCTGTACTCTAGTGTACTTATGAAACTTGCTGTTCTGTAATGCAGATATCATCAGCTTTTATGATAAATTGCTTATGATGTTCCTCATTTGTCTCTGAATTAAAAAATAATAATAATGTAATATAACAGACAATACAGTGATCCAGTGCAGTCTGGATTAAACAAGAGAAAAAGAGAAAAGAAAAGTTTTCTAGATTTATCCTGCTGAATTAAAGCCGAAATACGTCACTGAGCTCAGTGGGTCCATTGCGACATCTCAAAGAGAATTACAATGTTGCCAGCTGAAGTGCTTAGCCATCCCAAAGTGGGGGGCAGATGAGCGCTGATCCACTGGATTAACATGGTTTGTGGTGATGAGAAATTTTCACTCACATTTCAAGTGTTTTACGCCAGGCTGAGCGGCCTCCTGCCCGTTTCTGACGACATGTTCGACACCACACTCTCACCTTCACTCCTGATCTAAATGAAGAGTCCTACTCAGCCCACATGTTCATTAATAGCGCCCCCTCACACTGCATCCTTTGGGAATTTTGCCACATGACAGTTGTCTCTTTTTCTCACTCTCTGCACTTCCTCCTCACTGACTGGCAGCCATCTTAATATCTCAGCAGTTGCCATTTAAAATAGTTTTCACAATATTAAAGGTGTAAAAATCTAGATAAACTTGTCGGCATTACGTATCCGTTAGTTTATCGTTGGATGACATGTTAAGCATTGTGACTCATCCCTAGTTGCTATACATTATTTCTGTATTTCTCTGTCTGTTGTTGTCTTTGATCTCTTCATCTCTCTTTCTCCTCACTCTGAACTGTCACCTAATTTTCTTTGGCTGTGCGGTTATGTTAGGTGAAAGTCACGGACTGGAAGCTCCATGGGTGTAGTGGAGGTCTTTAATGAGCCTGTGGACTAGGGAGGGGGCGGCAGTTGTAAGGCCACAAGGGTATTTATGGAGCTCATCTGCAGTCTGAGCTGGGTTCACAGGAATAAGGCAATGACATCCCCATCAGCGCTGTCGGATTTAATTCCAGCACACTATGTTTCGTGCGTCTTATTTCCATAACTGTATATAGATAGACAGCAGTTTCATTTACTGATCATGTGTGGTCATGTATTTGTTTGCTTAACAGTAACTTTATTTTTACGAGTAAATTATGCTTAATCCAATCAAATTTACAACCAACAGAATCCACACATATGCAAAAAACAGACTTCCAGTTGCCTTAGAAACATGGAATGTGTTGAGATGAAGTTGTCTTTGTGTGTTCGTACTAGAAACTGAATAATTAAGAGAGCCTAGATTAGTTATTTTTATTTCTTACTTATTATTTATTTAGTTATTTCTTACATATTTTAGTGTAACAAAAATGATATGCATTATAGATGAATCTATGGGTTTATATAAAAGGTTTATAATCATGCTCTCTGACGTGAGTGTGGTTTTAGAGAGAGTAAGCATATGTTTGCTGTCCTTATATGTTGGGCATGTACTATGATAATTACCATATGAATATAGGCATGCACACCCTCATTTAGAGTAATCAACATTAGAATGAGAGTAAGACCAAATGTATGTGTGTGTATATGCTCCTGTTGTGAATCTGGAATCAGAAATTTTTTTTCTAACAAATTTTCTTGTCCCAACCCAGACTTTTGACTATAAAATATGACAATCCATTATAAAAATATGAATTATCACGTTTAAAACTGGAATAGCTAAAACGGAGTGAAATGTTTCAGTATTTATTGTGTAAAAAAGATTGATCAGGTTGATAAAGTTTTTTGTTTGTAAAATGACTTGACTTGTTTGCCAAGTAGACAACAAAGCCAAAAATATGAGATGTGCAGCATAAAGAAAACAAACAAACAAAACAAAAACAAAAACCAAGGTAAATATTGCTTTGGGAGCAATATTTTATTTTGCATTCAATCAAACTTTTCAAGTAATGCAAAAAATGAAAAAATTATTATGTAATTTTGTGCATTTTGGATACACACCAAGCTAGCCATTTTATTTTTAAAAATTTAATTTCCATCACAGAATGCTATTAAAAATCACAATTAATATGAGATGTGCTCGAAATCACACAAAGATGGGAACATTACTTTGGGATGCATGTCCCCAATTAGACATTGTTAGTAGTCAAATTACTAGTTAAGAGTGTGAAAAGCATCTTCAAGAAAGTTTATTTTTGAAAAGTCCACAGAGCCAAAAGTGGCCATAGTTCAAGAAACACAAAAGTACTTGCTTATTAGTGAATAAGACCCAGTGTACCTTCAAGTATTATAATGTTATGTTAAAAACACAGCAGTTTCTTCTTCCTGCAGTCTCTCAGTCAAAACTCTGGCAGACCCAGTTTGCTACGTGTCACAGAAATCTGTGATCATCTCTCAGTTATAGACTTGAACCGACTTGCAGTCATTTACAACTGATCTATTGCATGTGAAATGATGCACCTTGGAGACAGAGGACAAAATGCTCTATTATGAAGCCTGGCTGGTTTGGTTTCCCCATGGTTCACTGGTTTGGCAGACAAGTTTACCAAGCATTACTTGTCTAATTATTCTCTTGTTAAGGCAGAATGTGGCAGAAGGCCGCATCCCTCACATAGGTTCTGCAATAATATTGCTTGGCCTTTTTCCGAGCGAATCTGTAATGAATTCAGGAAATAGCTCACAAAATGGGCTTTGTCTATGTGATATGTTTATTTGGGAAAGAGAGAGAGAGAGAGAGGAAAAAACAGAAAAGCAGACAGAAAGCGTGTTTGATGAGATTATTGGTGCAGCTGAAGACAAAGCACCCCCTATAAGCTAGTATGTTTGTTTGTGTCAGCATACAAGTGTGTTTGTGTGCACGCAAGTTGAAAGAACCTCTTTCGTTTCGTTTTTCATGCAACCCGCTACGGTTTATGCATGCTTTTCTTAGTTTACAGAGCTACGCCAAATCTCTTTAGTCTGTCAGTGTGTCTAAATCTCCTCCTTCCTTCCCGCTTTCCAGGAATAATTGTTTTTGCTCAGCGCAAGGTGAGACGTCGCAGAATTTACTGCTGTTCCACAGATAAACATCCACTGAAAATGGAATCTAAAGCGTTGTCTTTCCGCACTATTGTTGATGCGCCTCTCTGACAGGTTGAAGGTTATCTGAAATGTTCGGGGGAGTCTGTCAGTCTCGGTGTCGCTGCGGTGGAGGACCTCCTGGCCTCTGAGCGGCTCATTGAAATGCAGAGCGATATGTATCAGTCCTCATACTAGAATCCGTGATAATTTTTTCTCTGTGACACGTTTCAGCGATTGGCCATCGATCTCCACGTCATTCAGGGGTATCTGTCAGCCTCGGGCCAGACTGCACTCACATCTTCCTCTAATCGCTCATGCATGGAGGAGCACCACTTTTGGGGACAGGGACAGGGAAAGTGTACATCTACATCACTAATTGATAGCCTTTATAGAGCCAAGTCATATTCAGAAGAACTGTTTTTTTTTTCCACTTCAATAAGTGGCAGAAGAAGCAGCAGGGTCAGGGTGAGAGCACACAGGAAGTGAGAGAAAATATGGTGCACTTATTAATGAAGGAGGGAAAATGTCATGTTTGTCTATAACAAAGAAATGCTCAAGGGCATGTCCTCACAAACACATTCATCTGCTGCATATAGATGTCAATACATGCAAGTAGATGTTGTCTGCTTCAAATGTTCACACTCTGTATTCAGAATGTAAAATAGCACTTTGCCTCTAAATAATGCTACTATATTTCCCAGACAGTGAATATTCTCCTAGGAGCTCTTTCATGGCTTGTCTGCTCAGTCAATGAACTCTGAAAGACATGAAATAAATTGATTTGTATGCAGGGGGGTTCAACCAAAGCATAATGGGAAATATAATGGTGGCGTGCTTTATGTTTTTCCCTCATTGCTGGAGGTTAAAGATTACCTGACATTTCTTTTTGAGGGTTTCTTTATTTGGCAAGTGTCTCAGCTGTGCTGGCGGACACATATTCAAGCACACAATGTCTCAGCAGTAGTTGTAGGCCTCGGTGGTTTGTCTGGGCCAAACAACAAAGGTGCCTAAATAAGCAGTTGCAAAAAACAACAAGCAATCTCAAAATGACATTTGTGTCAAGAGTCTCTCAGGTGAGCGGAGACAAGTGAAGTTTAAACAGCCCACTTCACCCAGAGTGCTGATTTTACTGGCAGTGAATGTACATGGAAATGTGAGTGATACCAGTGATATAAATGAATGTTTCATGCCCCTTGACACAGGCAAGTTTTTCAAGCTCTATGTTTGGCAGTGAATAGCTATGGGGGTACAGCTTCATGAATGGATGGATTGATACTAGTAACATTTAACAACATTGCAGTTTGGTTGCAGATTGGATACATCACAGTATAAGATTTTAAAAATGTACTGGAATCAAATCTTTTTTATACGCAAAGCTTACCAACAGATTTGCTTTACTGGCAAAATCTGTGCCAGTATATTACTTTTTCTTTAATTTTTTAAAATATATTTATATATTTGCATATTTATCTTATACTTACCATATTGTGTTGTGTTATGCTGGCATTAAATTACAACAAACTAGTTAACTGCTTAAATGGGGTTCGATGGGGAATATCGAATATTCTGAGAAAGTGACAGAGAATTCAACATATTTCTCTCCTTTATCTGCTGGGATCCATCTTTCTGCGTTTTCTTCAGTTTTTCATTCACTGCTGTTTGTAACACGCACTGAGTAGCGCTTGGTTCACAATTACTAAGTTACTATGTGACCACAACTTTGGTACAGTGGTAACTACGTGGGATTGCTTGGACCAGAAATCAGAAGACAAGTGTCGACTCACTAGAGCAAAAGGTAAGCAAAAAGTGTAAGAGTATTACCTATTTCAAGGGTCAGTCAATTAATAACACAGTTCAAAGGAATAGTCAGTTACTGGAAAAATAGTATATTGTTGATTGATTGATTATCCTTTCACTTGGATTACTGCCCTTTTGAAATTGCAATTAGATAAAAAATAACCAAAACACAATTACAATAACAGATAAATTGAATAGTAAAACCCAAAAGTAACAAAAGGATATCAAAATTTAAAGAAAAGGAAAAAAAAATAAGTTCAGATTCAGTTTCCAAATTACAAATAAGTTTCTGGAATTAAATTTCAAATACTCAAAATCAGTGTCTCAGTTTCAAAATTAGATTTTTATATTCAAGATGAAATTCTCATTTTCAAGTGTCAGTTTTGAATTCAAAGTCTCAATGTCCAGTTAAGTTTCAGATGCAAAGTCAAAAGTCTCAATGTCCAGTTCAGTTTTTTTTTAAAAAGTAAAGAAATATAGCAATGTTCATCAAAAGTGGAAAAATTCAGTCCACGAAGAAAAGAAAAAAATTGTTTGATCCAGAGAAAATCCAGGCAGCAAAACTTGGAAAAACTCTAAACAAATATAGTTTGGTCCTACCAGATCAACAAATTTCACTCTTTTTCTCTGTTTACAGGCACGAAATGATGGGATGGCTGGCCAGTCCAAACCGGAATACGAGTATTCAGCAGGGACAGGATTCAGGATCACAATTCTCAACAAAGACAAAAAAATATATATATAAAAAAAAAAAACCCGGCCTTGACAAAAACAAAGCCAAAAACAATCATCAGTAACTTGTTCGAATAAACCATTTCAAATGACTAAAGCGTCTGCTGCAATTATTTGCATATTCGCAACACATACATGCTAATCGCCATGTGCTCAATTACAATACTAGAGTCTATGCACAGTGTTAGCAAAACTAGCACCACATGAAACACATTTCACTTAGAGAAATTATCACATCTTCACAAATAAAACACCCTTCAACAACTTGAACATAATTATATACACTAACAGATCGTATTGGAGCAAAAATTAAGCATTTTCAACACATTTTTACATTACTAACTCACATTCCTGGTTAACTTTACAATATCTAATAACAGTATTCACATTTATTTTAATTAAATCCACTTCTTATAACGAAATTTGTACTCACCAAGGAGAAATGTATCAGAAAAATAAATCAAGTATTCCTCCGAAGAAATACTGATTAGGCTCCATTTCATCAGCTTCTTGTTGCGTCTCTTTCAGTGCTGTTTCTTGTCGTCTTTCTCAAAGCGTGAGCTTTTAAGAGTCAATATCTCACTAATCTGGGTCTTCATTTGTTAATAATCTATTGCTGGATTATTAAACTGTATTTTCATTGAATTCGCGCTACTGAGTCTTCTCTCTTTCAAGTTCGCTCTCGTTCTGTCTGCTCGTGCGCTCAGTGTTGCCAACTAATTTTCAGGGGAAGTTGCTAAAGGAAGGTTGATTTGTTGCTAAAAGTTGCTAAATGACGCGATGTCATTGCGCGGTGACGTCATTGCGTAATCACGATGCAAAATTGCGTCACTGCATCAAATCTCAGCAACATTTTTTTTTTTTTATATGTTAATTTAGATGTGTTTATAAAATAATATAAATGCATAATATAATATTAAAATATAAATAATTTTAAATACAACATTTAATTATTTAACACGTTCACATTTTTTAACAATTACAATTTAAGTTTATTTTTATTAGCTAGTAAATTAGTAAAACTACTCATTCTGAACAGTTATAGTTTTAAGCAGTGTATTAGTAGTTCGTATGCTACACTCTAAGAAAAGTCTGTAAAAATAGGGCAAAATCTATTAATATGAAGGAATTTTCCGTAATTATTATTCACACATTAACTGCAAATAGCAATAACTTAATTCACGTGATGTTGTGTACTGCTAGGCATCTTTGGTTTCCTCTTTTTGTGTAATTTAGATGGAAAATGTGTGCCTTTTTTATCGTTTGAGTCACTTATCAAAAGTTGCTAAATGTTGCCAAATAAATTTTAAAAAATAGCTAAATTTGTTGCTAGGTGCTTTTGGAAGAAAAAGTTGCTAGGGTAGTCTGAAAAGTTGCTAAATCTTGCAACAAAATTGCTAAGTTGGCAACACTGCGTGCGCTACCACCCAAAAGGGGCGGAGCTAACCTTTCACCTCCCCAATTAAGAATCATTCAGGAACTTTTTTTTCCCTTTTTACTTGTAGAGTGATCTTTCTACATATTTATCTTTCCTTTCTAAATATTATAGCAATAATAATTAGATAAAACTTCAATTAAATATTAGTGACCTAGATTAATGATCTGGGTTACATGTTGAAAATGGAAATACAAAAAATAAATTTGCTATGATCTTCCATTTACCTGTATTGAAGTTTAGCCTATAGTTTCCTTCCTTGTTCCAACCGCAGAAATGTGAAAAGAATCTATGTGATATTTCAGTTTTTCTTTTTTGATAAATCTGCAAAAATGTCAACAATTCTGTGTTTTTCTGTCAATATGGGGTACTGTGTGTACATTAATGAGGAAAAAAAATTAACTTAAATGATTTTAGCAAATGGCTGCAATATAACAAAGAGTGAAAAATTTAAGGGGGTCTGAATACTTTCCGTACCCACTGTATATTGATTATTCATATTATTTTAAAGGTTTTGAATAGAAAGACTTCATCTTTGGACACAAAACATAAAATGACACACAAGGCATAATTAGACATTTAAAAAGAAGGCCTTTGAGTTAATGCTTGAGGTAAGATACTGTATGTCAACAAAAGAGCACTGGTCATTCTGATTATTTAGATTTACTCAAACCATGTAGCCTGTGGCAATTTTGATTCATAATGCAGAATTTTTATAAAGAAATATACAAAGACAACCGTGCAGACATCTCTTTCTCTCACTAATACTGTTTTATGATATCGGTAACACTTTTATGGATCAAAGCAAAAACATTTTGACAATGGCATACTGTATGTAGTATTAAGTTAGATGTGTTAATGATGTTCCGTAAACGTCACAAGGGCGATGTGGTAATGTCATAACATGTCTGCAATGTGAAAGTATATATACTACATTATGTTTCAGGCATCTGTGGTGTTACGTGAAACCTAATCACAACCTTTTATGGTTTTACTACATAGTTTACGATGGATAAATGGATAGTTAGCAAGCATAAGGTTAGGTCTTGTGGAGCCTGCAGATCAATAGGGTCTGATCATTAAACTCCAGTGGGCCCAGGTGACAAGAGCTGACTGGTGCTAGTGTGCATACTAGGACAGATTCCGTTAGGCAGCTAGTGTCTGTTTGCATGTGTATTGTGAACACTGTTGGGCAATATAACCTGCTGTGTTTTGCTAGTGACATAGTTCCCCAATTGTAAGCCATCTCTGTATGCTCAGGTTAGAAATGTGTTTGTAGTTCCAGTTGGCAGCCTTGACAATATATGTGTATGCATGTGTGGACTGACGTGTGTGCTAAGAGGATTGCGTCAGCCTCTGCTCTCTGATTCTTGGCATGCGGCCTGTCTGATCTCAGGGAGAGGTGCTGATAGTCTAGTCTATTAGTTGCCACAACTTTTCAATTAATCCAGGGGCTTTCAAACTAAGGTCAACAGTGAATTTCCCCTTCATCATTGTATAAATCATGTCATAAAACATCTAATCTTGGGTAAAGTCCTTCACTGACTTTGCATCAAAATCTTTATTTCTTGCTCCCCGTTGTCTCCGGCAAACAGAAAACAATTGACACCTGCATTCAATATCACAAAGCTCCTCTCCATGGCAACAGCTCCCTTCTATCTAGTGCTCAAGAATCCCATCCATCTTTATAATTTAACCACGTTGGAATGGTTTAGGTAGCATTATCTTGTTAGTGGGGAAGTGCTGGCTTGCTTAAATGTGCTAGATGATCATATGCTATAATTCAACACTGTAATCACAAAGATTACACAGTGCTCTTTCATAAGCTAACACTGAGGCGAGCTGATGGGGAGATTGGCACTTTTGTAGCTGGCATCTATCAGATAGCCTCTAGATGCTGTTTTTGCAAAGAGATCCCCTTATGATCCCTGTTAGGCTTTATCTGAAGCAAATTGTAGTGACTGTACCCGCCATGCCATTCTTGCAAGGTTACACTGGAGAAGATAAAGAGAGACAGAGTGGAAAGCCCATCTGAGACCTGAGGTCTGAATAGACATTGTGTCTGCTCACACACGGATATATCCAGACAAAGGGCGACTCCATCCAGAACACTAGATTGGGCACAGTGCAGTACATTATGCCATTCATCACCAAACAGAGACTCCATGCCTCCATTCAGCATGACAAACCTCTTGCCATTCTCGCCTCCACCACTGTCGAAGCAACAAAGGAGCCACGGAAAACCATCACACGCCAATCTTCATAAACCGTTCTGCTCAATTGCGGTTTATTTCGAATGAATAAGAAAGCAATCAATGTTTATGGTTTATTATAAGTAACGGCATATTGTTTTATGGCGCGTCGAGAGCACTTTTATTAGATACTTGTTAAAAACTCACAAAGTCAGCGTTGTTTTTCTTTGCGTTCGCTTGATTGGCACTTTGACAACTTGCGTCATTAATTTCGCCATTGGAAGCCAAATGAGTTTGAAGTTGTGTCACGGGTCCTGGAGGACCATGCGCCCACCGTTCGCACTTCGCCGCCGGTTGTCATCGTAAAATAAACACGCGGGCACTTCTGCAACTGTGCACGGCCCGAAGCTAGATAGATTTGTAAGGGAGAAGACAAACACGGCATGCTGGGATATTGGTGGCAGGGAAACCAGTGCCCAAATGTTAATTGGAAACTCACCCTGAGCCGGCGGTGATTAATGATGATTGTTTCTGTATTCAGCGTACTTTCCTGATTGAGCCCGAGTTTCACATGAGTAACTCTGCGCATTGGAGAAAAGAAGCCAGGCTGCCAGATCTGCCTATAAGTCATCAGCCACCCGATGCTTTGCATCTGCAGTGTGAGCGTGCATGTATATTTATATCTATCTATCTCCTGCTGGAGGCTTGGGCCTGTTCCTGGCCCTAAGGGAGATGGAGGAGCCTGAGTTGGGAAGGGCTGGCCGATTAGCCTTCCCTGCAGCCCGCTCTTGCTCACAGTCTGTCACCTTCCATTTTGAAACCTGGTGCAGAGAGCGCAAGGGCAGGCAGAGGTGGCAAACTGCGTTTAGTTGGTTTGATTGGCTGAGTCATCTGATGAGGCAAAAATAGCAAAGAGTGTTATGGAGAAGTGTGAGCGAGATGCGTAAAGAGCACTGCTGCAGAAATCCACCCCTGTATGGAGTCTTTATATATGCGTGTTTTGCTACAAGTGTCATCCACACAAATTGCCAAACCTAACACTCGCACATATTTTGTTTTCTTTCCATAAAAAAAATAACTGAATGTGTTAAGTTATTAATGACAATGGAAAATCACATGAGTTGTTGTTTTTCATTATTTTATTCTGTTGACAGGCCCAGTATTTATTTTTATTGATATTATAAATTAAAAACTAATATACATTGTATATATACCACAAAAAAGTATCTATCTGTCCATCTCTCCATTCATCCATCCATCCATCATGTTTAAAAAACAGTATACTAACAGAATCATCAAAATATATCAATATATATAGCCAATATTTATTGATTTGTATTCTTATTTTCAGGAATTTTATTTCCCATATTTACTTCTGC